GCTCCGGCGTACGCTCGTATTGCGAAGCACAATGCTTCTAGTTCTAGTTGACATGTCCGCATATGTGGAAATCCAATGGTTCCCAACTTTAGGACCAAAAGCATTGATGAGACCAACGTCTTCGACGGTTCCGATTCCGGAGACAAACTGACCATGGAAACCAGTGCTCTTGGCAGCCGGGGGGCCAAGAGACATCGGGTGAGTCTACCTTCCCACACCGGCCAGAAGTATGGAAACATGGAGCATACTGGACAAAGTAATGCTTGCGAACTGACGGCTCCTAGGCACTCGCGAAAGCACTAATTTCAAAAGAATTGACACATCCAAGCCAAAAAGCATTAGCAACAAAAACTTGGTTTTTGTGCTTCCAGGCATCTGACAGAAGGAAAGTTCGGGAATGTTTGGAAAGCCCAATGTTTGGTTGTGGCATTGCCTACGAACAGTTGAGAAGACTTTAAGTTTGCTTTTGGGATGTCTCTGCCTATGGGCTGCCAAGCAAGAGAGTTCGGGGTGTCTCGTTGATAGTTGTAGTTCCATGGCTGGAAATGAGTACAACTGTTGAACACTACCACCTGACACGCGCAAACAGTTTGTGCGAACTGTCTCCAGCATTCAAAAGCTCAAAAGGCCCGAACTGCATGCACCTTCCAAGTTTCTCATGTTTGCCAGGGTCTGAACCCGAAACAGAAGGCTGTTGGCAACGTGTGCAAAATAGGACAATTGCTGACTGTTCATGACAAACTCTGAAATCTGAACTCCTTCTGAGATTGTTCGGCCGCTGTTCAGTTGCGGAAGAACTAACCCCAAAATTAAACGGTCCAGTACTTTTCACGCGCTGCTTTCGCGACTTGAAAGTTCTTGTAAGCCCGTACTCGAGTTGAGAAATCTAAGCCCAATCTATACACAGATTTTATCCGTACATCGATGTATCGGCGCGTGTATATATATATATATATACAGATACACACATACATACATACATACACACATATATACATATACATATATATATATATGTGTATATGTAATTCATTAGATCCCGAAGCCCAACTCCTTAAAGGTAAATGTGGTTCGTCTCGATTGGTTCTCAACAGAGGTGTATGGTCTTGACTTCCGAGGCCCAAAGCTTTCTTCTAATACCCTGCAGTTTCAGTACCCACAAGCAGGCACAGCCAGGCCAGGTTCTGACAAGTCCCACCCATTGCCGATATGAGGGTCGAGGCGAGGGATGATTATCAGTCCAAGGCCCAGGTTTCAATTTGTTCGCATGCAGACATGTTGGAGCACACTCCAATAAGACCGGCTGGTCTGTTTCTTGAGCCTTCGGTTTTTATGCATTCATATCGTCTTGAAATCCAGAGACTTACTTACAGTGTGATCTCAGATCCGTTTGTAGAGTTGGGGTTGGTGCAAATGGCCGTCAGCTGGTCAAATCTCAAAGTTTACGTTATGCGTGTTGTAAGCGTATCCTGGTTATCACAACGAATCATCTCAAAGTAGTAAGTTTGAGGAGTATGCTGAAGATGATGATGGTGATGATGGCAATGACGACGACTTAAAGCCCTAAAAGTCTTAAGCCCTCATCCCTCAGAGTTTGGGGCTTTAGGCTTTCAGGGCGTGGGTGTTTAAGTTTTTAGAGTTTCGGGGCTTTGGGGATTTAGGCTTAGTCACGGGCGTTTTTTCAGTATGGAAGTCGTTATGAACAGGTTTAAAGTGGCATCATAGGTATCCTGGTATCCTAGTTACCTTTGCCTGGTATCCTAGTTGTTTTGCCTACCCCTTAGTAGTAGTAGTAGTAGTAGTACGCGCTACGTTTTCGTGCACTTGGCAGACAGAAAACACTGTAATTTGCGATGTATGCAGGACAGGGGGGGTCCTTGTCAGGGGAGCGGGGAAATTTGGATTTGGTTGGGTTTCAGCAAGTGAATCAGCTCGGATCTAATTATATCCCAGGGCGTCCGTGTCTGCAAATAGTGGCAACGTTGCAATGTTGTCCCCAGCGGCTGACGTATCGTATGTGTGCGAAATTTGTCAACGTGTCCATATCAATGGAAACCCTGACTTGTAAATGTACCATTTCGGTAGAAACCCTGACCAATTAGCCGGCACAGGCCCCCCGAGCACTGCTGAGTGTGATTGAAAACAAAAAACTGTAGGATATTATAGGGTTGTTGGGGTAAGAAGATGCATTCCCAGACGCTCTAAACCCACATGGTTCCCGAATATTCAAAGATGCCACAGGGCATGGTGCAAGTGCATGCACCAGTGAGACGTGGACGGCCTCGAAAGGCTCAAGGTGGCTGTGGAGATGTGACATTGCATCGTTGACGATGCTGTGCAGCTGTGGGGCTTGGAGTATATTTTATTTAAAATCAGGCCTGACATGTGCGCTACACAGTGTAGGTCTGATCATCCATGCATACAGTGCTAGCGCATAATAACGGTCCATGGCGTGGATCTGTCGAGCCCTGCTGTGCATCTGGTCTGGCCCATGCTTCGCAACGCATACCGCCGTGACTCTGCAGCCCTAATTGCATCTCGCGCACATGAAGCATGATAGATATCGTGTGGGTGACCGACCATGCCACCATGAGGACATTTCGTTCCAGAATATCCTCGAGAGCGCTCTCGAAGTCGAAGCCGAGAGCGCTACCTCTCGAGCCTGGGGAAGTGCGATGGCGATGATCGTGATGATATCACGGATAGTGCGTGGGCCGTTTCCGGTGCTTCCCCCCATTGCGTGCAGCATGAGTGCATGTGCTGCTGCTAGCATGGCATGTATACATAATTTCGGATCAACAGATTTTGAATTTTCTTTTGACGTCCCACGGCATCGACTCGATCGGGAGCAGCTGCTTCGATGCAGCTTAACGTGTGCTGCGAGCTAGATCGCTAGATATAGATGCACGTCGTGCGCACTGCATGCAAGGCTTCATCCATGTCGGCTGACAAAGAGATGGAGCGCCGACTCTCCAAGATTCTACTCGAGGCCCCTCCCGCCACCCAGAGGGTATACAAAGTGTCGAGCAAGCTCCCCTGCCATAACAAATATCATTTTCTACCTGGCTCCAGGATATCTTGAACAGCTACCTCACAACGGAGCCGGACAGGCTGAGCAAAGTTCGCCAGCGGAACTCGAAGGCCGAGATTGTTTCGAATTCAATCATGATCACTTATAAGCCTGTTTGAGCGCAATCTTGGTGGGGATTGCATTCAGAAAACAGTGCTGCGTGATGGTTTGCAGCGAGTCTGTGAGTGTCAAATAGGGGATGTTTGGTTCGTGTTCTAAGGCTCGGATTCTGTGCAAAAAGCCATAATATAATATTGTCGAATTCGAGGTTCCCCAAAATTGTTTTGAGCCTGTGCAGGAAATCCTGAAGATCGTGCCGGGAGGGGTGAGCTCGGCCGACATGGTGCCCTGGTGTGTCTTAAGCCGCTGCACACTAAACGATAACCACATCAACGATCTCTTCAGGTCGAATATCATCTGGATTTCTATATGGAGTACCTGGCGAGTCTAGCCGGCCGCATCCCATTATTCTCTGTGCACCAGGCACACGGCACTAGCATTAATGACCCTATCTGTGCACGTGGGGCCCGGACTAGGAAGTGATCATGGTCTTGGGGACGAGATATGCGATTTTGGGCCCGAAGCCCAAGCGCAAAGCACTTCGCGAGACTTTGCCGATATCGATGTCCGTTCTGTATTGTACTTGAACTTCGATTCGGGATCCTAGGTTAAATATTAATAGCTACATGCTAAGGAATGGGCATCCCTTCAGGCGGCGACGATCCGCGGCGGTGCGGTTCATGCGCTCTCGCTCACCCGACGAAGTAAGGGAGCAAGGAGCTTGTAGTAAACAATGCCAATATCCGATTCTAACTAAATCGCGAACAGGAGCGCAGCGATCATGACCTTGAAGGAGGTAGTCCGTGCGACTATTCAGACTTGCGCTTTAGCAGCAGTACGACGTCGACTAGCTAGCTATATAACAACATGGGCCATTTGAGGTACTGGTGCGAAACCCGATGACCCCGACAAGGCCATTGAGGATGCCATTGGCGGCTTGGAGGACGACCAGGCTGCCGCATTAATTGTGTTTTCGTTTCTTCTTGGGATGTGCCATGCGATCGTGTGTGAGACTGAGAAATCTCTGCCTACAGTAGTCCGACCCTCTTAAAAAAAATAAATCCACACAAAATACACATCATGTATATGCATATGTATATACGTGTACTTATATTCGAATTTTAGGGTTTTAGGGTTTTAGGGTTTAAGGCATGTTAAGGGTTTCGAACCTAACCTTGTCAGGCCTGAGTGTAGATGAAGATCGCAACCATGACACTTTAGGAATTCTGGGGCTTTAGGGTTCAACAAAAATTATCAACCCAAAACCCAAACCTCGCTCTAGATCTGTTAACCAAATATAGCCCTACGTTAGAATACTAAACCACTCGCCCGCACTCAGAGCGCATGCCCACTGGCCAGGAAAGCCTCGCCGCATCGATGGAGTCTGTCGGTGAAGACTCCGACGTGATTATGGAGGTAGACGAGAAGGCTTCTCGACAGCAGGATTCACACGAACAGTTGTACACATTAGCTCATTAGATGTTCAAAGTTTGCTCTGTGTACATGTCACCATCAGGAAGATTCGCAAGTGCTTGTGCCGAAGGCTGTCCAGTCAGATCGTGTAGCTGCGAGCAGGTTAGAGTCCTAATCGCCTCAGAAGACTCTCAACATGTGCAGGAGCAAGAGCAAGTTGAGACTCTGATGCCCCCGCCCTCCGTGGAAGTGCACTTGGCCGCAACATAAAACAGCATGCAGGATATGGGGTATGTGCACACATGGCAATATCCAAGGCGAAGCCGGCCCCAGCAGCGATGATCATGCCCCCACCCTCCGTGCCAGTGCACTCGACTGCACATAATCGCGATGATTGGCATAAGCATGTCATGGAATCAAGCAGCTCGAGGTCAAGAGCCCGGTGGACCCCAGCACCATGGAGACGCAGCCTATGGAAGTCGAGCTCGACCGGCCTTCGGCAAATTTGCCGGAGGATCGACGCCAAGCTGCCCAGGTGCCGCCTGGGTTTCTACAAGTAGTTGTCTGTACATGTGTACGTATAGATGTGGCTAATTTCATGCATGTTGCATATAAGGAAAGCAAGCGCAAACCGATTCAGCCGAACGAGCCGGTTGAGATCCCAGCAACCCTGGAAGCGATGGTTTTAGACTCCCAGTCCGTCCCGACCGATGGTGGTGATGTGGTAGAAGCTCAACGCAAAGATTCTAGCATGCATTTATCGATCTGCTCATGCGTAGATCTCGTTAAACGTTGCTGCCGTAACTCTATAGCGCATGTGGTGCGGGCTACCTGCTGCATCTGAGGTTGCTGCAGCAGCACGGGAAGCTGCCGCAAAGGCCAAGGCTGAGGCTGCTTTAGCAGGCACACAGTCAGGATGTGCAAGGTTAAACTAGTTGCAGGGTTGAACACTATACTAGACTAGTACTATACGTAGACGGGCTGACTGAGCAGGAAAGGCACCGAAGAACAAAGCCAAGTCAAAGGCAAAGGGGAAGGCCAAGGCCAAAGCGGCCCCACAGGCGGCCGAGGAGCCGCAGGAAGGCGCGGCCGAGGAGCCGAAGGAAGGCGCGGCTGAAGAGCCGCAGGAAGAGGCAGCAGAGCAGCAGCAGGGAGGACCTGTCCAAGCGGATTGGTCTAGGACGGCCCTTTGTCCAGATCAGAATCATCACAACTTGACGGCTAGTACGCTAGTACCGGGTTAGCACTTGCACTTGCAAATCGAGGTGCGAGATCTGGAAGCCGCTTCTGTGCCCGTGCCACCGGGGTTCAAGGGTGAGAGAAAAAGCTACACGGTTCCGGCACCTGACGATTGCAAAGACGAGTGCGGCAGCATCGGTGTGCTGTACCTTAGCTAGGGTCGATATGGTATTCTTGCTCTTCGGGGTCTGGCCGGTTTCTTCTAGATCTAGCATATGGAGTATGGTTCTAGCAGCATCCCAGGTGGGCGACGAACCAGCTGTACGTCAACTCTGCCCTCAACAGTGAGGCTTTCGATCGAACCTTCAAGATCAATAAGAAGAACGGAATCACGATCTCGGTCCGCAAGCTGGACAATGACTGGGCTCGGGCATGGACTACGGCTAAGCAGCTCGCAGGGTGGTACGATACCAAGAAGAAGTGCTTCTTGTCTAAACTAGATATCCCCCTAATGTTTTCCTTGGGTCCCTTCACGGTCCAGTTTTGTATCATGAGCTCGAGGCTTGAAAGCTTCGAATTCGACTTCGAAACCCATGGTGTATTGATCGGTATACTCATAACAAGGTCGTACATTTGGGGGATTTGATAGCGAGCGAGTATTCTGAGTTATAATAGATGATCGCATTGGCTATGAAGGCCCAATATGTCGATATAATTCGTATGTCGACATATTGGGCCTTCATAGCCAATGCGATCATCTATTATCTATCTATATATATATATATATATATTATATTATTTAAAATTATATATAACAGATCTAGAGCTATACTTCAAGGGAATTCGAAAACAGGATTAACCGCGAGACGAAAGCCCCCAAAACGAATCCAAACACACATTCGTTATCTCTGATCCACCTCGAGCTCTCATATCGAAATGTTCGAAGCCTCGTACCCTGACCAAGTACTCCAAAGATCTATCGGCCTAGCATGTAAGAATGTATAAAAATCTACAAGTATAATTATATAGAGAAACATAGGTAGGATATATATATATAATATAGACATATATGTATAATTATCTAGATGATCTACAGTAGATCGTATGAATTTGAATAGGATCCTCGGAGAAACCACAGACCCCACAGTTGGCAGAGAAATGCCCCATGCACATTCGAATTTAAGCCCCCGCAGCCTTAAGCTACACCTCCACCCCTTTACAGCTAATAATGCAACCAACCTATGACAGGAGCCAGTCTTGGAATGCCAAGTCCCCGATTTTGGGCGACCGGGGCAGAATCGACATCGGCGTGCCGCCTGAGATCGGCAACTGATGCACGGTAGTATGATTCGGAGTCTGAGGGGTCCCAGAAATTTGAGATTCGGGCCAGGACGCAGAAAGGGGTTCATGCTTGTGCACATTCACGATGTCTGACGACGTGTGCTGTATGCACGAAACATGCCTTCGAAGTCTTTTGTCACGGGCTCTAGATGTACGGCAGTCTCGCAACATGTGTACGTTTGTTAATGAGTACTGTGGGTCATGGGAGATTCCAGGTCGAGGCCTGTAGCTACGGATTCCTGCTAGGCAAGATGTAGACTGGTACTGATTAATCACTCATGGTTAATATATACACTTATTATCTTCGAAACTTTCGACTGGAAGCATGGCGCCTGTGGCCCCTATTATTTCGTTTTCTGGGCGAAGATATGCAGCACTTCTCGCGATGGGAGCTCCGATCACCCTGCTTCTAGGCTCCCACCAATTCAGTTTCCAGCAATGCATAGAGGCTATGCAGGCCAAGCGAATGCTCCCCGTAGTCGAAACCGCGACTCTTCCAAATCCGTGTCCGAGGCTTGCTGCGATCGACTACATCATCCAGCTCAACATTGTTGGGCATTGGCATCCAGATTGTGAGCCGTGGCGACGGGCCACTTGCAACACGATATTCGGGTTCGAATGCTAGAAGCATGTTACCGCCAGTGCTGGATCTTGATCCTGACTTGTAGCCTGCTGTCAACAATATATACATTAATATCAGGACTACGCCATGCTTGAGCTGTTTGCCGGATCTTGCCGGATGACCCATGCCTTCAGAGCCTTTGCGAAGACCATTCGTGAGCTGTGTCGTGTGTGTGTATGTTGTGTATATACTAGCTTCGAGTTTGTCAAAATATGAGGATCCAGGGGCTACCGAGCACAGCCTTACGACATCCTACTGGCTTCGAAAGATGGAGTGCGTTGTCATGACATTACGCAGGTAAGCGGCTTCATGCACGCCCTTCTGTGTACAATGCGAGTGAAAGAAAGAGGGTTGGTATGGTGCGGCGTCCCATGTTCTTCGTGCCTTGCCTATAATACATATGTACCTATTATTCTAGTGCAATTTAGTCCACAGCAGACATTCTTCGCTCTACAATGTAGCTGAGGTGGGTGTTTATGTCGAGCTCGATTCATCGCCGTGGCCACCCTAGCTTTGGTGTACGTGGGGACACATCGCGACGACTGGTGGCTACGGGAAATCTCATAGCGCAAAGGACCGAACAGCCATGACACTAGTTGCATATATTGGTACAGGTGCAAGCCGGAAATGTCACGATATCAATATCCGAATCGACAATACCTCGAGCAAAACATCAAGCACCTTCAAAACAACCGACCTCGATCCACGTGAAACTTGAGACACAACGAAACCCCAAAGAGTGCCTCGATTGAACAAAAAGTAGTAATGTGCTAACCTTGCAAGTGCTGCCAGTAACTCCAAACCCTTGCTGCCAGCAGGACGGCTCTCTTGCTGATGGTTGCTGTCTGCCTCCAGGTCCACTACATTGCTCCTTGGCTGAGTGACTGATGTGGGCGAGGTTTGTGCAAGGCTTATTGGCTTCTTGGTCCCAGGTCAATATTGTTCCCGAACGAGGGATTGTAGTCTTGCACAGGTGCGGGTCATTATGGGAACATAAGTGATGGATTTGATGATGCTGAGATCACAGATGATTCGAAGGCTCGAGGTTCACAGGTATACTCACCGTATGCATGCAGGTGTGTGTGTGTGTGTGAGTCGGTGATATATATATATATATATATGCATGCATACAAATATGTATATGTTTTATGTGTACGACATGACATGTTCAGTATTTGTGTATATGTGTGTTGTACGTATGCATGAGTGGTTGTATCGTGTATGCTGTCATCGATGAAAAAGTGTGTAGTGTGCATAATATATATATATATATATATATATATATATATATATATTATACTTATATTTATTTTTCTCGCAAATCTATATATATATATATATATATATATATCACATATATATATATATATATATATATACAGATATAGGTGTACGCCTGTGTGATGTGGCAAAATACCGATCCCCGACTTGAGACGATATCTACAACATGCACATTTAAACCCAATATCTATTCATAACCCTAGTGGTAAAGTATATAATCGTGAATACTATATATACACACATACACACATAACATATAATACATGTTATGCGAGCACGATTTCTATGTGCACATGTACATGTATGTCTGCACATGTTGTTTGTTAAACTTTTGATCCCTGCCTAGATTGAACAGCCTGATGGCAGCTACCTGCGCTACTACAAGTGTGTGGATGCCGTCGTGGCTGTGGCAAAGGCTGAATTCCGAAAGTTTTGGATGTCGAAGTTTGGACACTGGACTCCCAAGCCGAGCTATGTACTGGGAACCCCGTCACTGGTCACAATAGGCTGTGCTCTTGCCGGCGCCGAAACCTTATAGGCCTATATACCGTACCAGATGCACGCTCTAAGGCCATATGTGTGCGACATCCCCACTGACAAGCCAAGAACTCGTAGACGAGCTGACCCTGTGGTGAGGAAGGTCAAAGGAGGCAAGAAAAAGGTGACTCTCGTACGAATTAAAATTGCTATCATAATTAAGTTTGCAAACCGAAACTTATGTTAGCTGCAAGCCCAATTCTGGCCCTGTCATGCTCCGCCCAGGACAGGCAAGCGACACATGCTGAAGATTTCTGGCCACTACCCGGCACCCTTCTGTGAGTTCGTTGCTGACAGCCACACTGCATACATTGCCACTCGGAGCTGCAATTTAGAGACCGCTTCAAACAGCCAGGAAGATTATGGGCCCCGATCGATTAAGTATTGCTCTCTCTGCCCCTGTCACCCCAAGTTTCTCAGAGTCCCAAACCCAAATCCCTCAAACCTGCCAAGCCCTAGATACCAAAGCCCAAGCCCCAAACCTTTAACTCGATCCAACCTTCAAAAAACCCAGGTAACTTTAGCATGAATTAAATAGATCAGGAACTATCATAGAACAGAAAATCATAGCTATATTGATCAAGTTCCTGTACCAGGCCTAAAGTGTAAAATTTAAACATGAACCAGGGTAATAACAGTATTACTGCTCACTAGAGCATACTAGTTGATATATGAATACATACATAATTAATTTCAAATAAAGTAGCCTTGAGTCTTAAACTACAACAAGCCTAAAACCTAGACGAACTTTAAACACCTAACCATTCTGTATACCTGTAAGCCTCGATTGCACCCTACTGATGTAGAGTTAAATTGGCTCCACCCCAGGGGCCCAGGAGGATGCTAGTTAAGGGCGCTCGGGCCGACAGAGGATGCTAGTTAAGGGCGCTCCGTTCGGTTGTGTAGTGGGTTGCTGGGGTGGGTGGGGTGGTGGGGTGGGGTGGGGTGGGGGGATGGGTGGGGGGGTGGAGTGGGGGGTGGTGGGGTGGCACAGGTCATCCTGACGAAAGGTTTCGAGTAACTTCCTTGTACATGTTCTATCACGAAGTACCTAGACGTTCGAATTCTCGGCACCCTATGTACAATACACCTCTTGTGTACTAGTCGGGCAAAGGATTTCCAAGAGTTTCGGATTACACACTTTATGCCAAATAAAGACAATATATGTATATATATATATATATATGCGAGTAAAGAATAGACAAAGATTATACATTATTATAATGAGTTATATCTATATATATATATGATAAATAAATAAATATAAATATAAATATAAATATATATATATATATGTATGTATGACCCTGCTGCTCCAGAGGCTTCCGGTGAAGCAGCTCCCACGCTGCCGGAGCCAGCCATGGAGCCTGGTTTGGAGCCACGGCTTTGTGGGATTTGAAGGTTGCCAGGGGTAGGGTTGTATTGTAGGGTTTTTGAATTTCTGGGATTCTGGGAGCAACCGCAGAGAACTATCTAAACTTGCATCCGAGGACATGGCTTTTGAATGGAGTGATGCGATGCTGTCTCCCATTTCTGAGTTTCTGATCGAAGAAGCCCGGCTGCAGCGTTTTGACCCCAATGCGTTTCTGCCAAATCTTCCAGTGCTAGCACTGCTCCAGGAGGAAGCAGTGCGCTACCGAGCACCATAGGTATGACCCCGACCCTAACAAGAGTGGTTTCAGCTCGGCCAAGCTGAAAAAGTCGACCAAGGACGGACCAGCAATGCACTTAGGGTATAGAGGGACGAGGAAAGCCAAGCCTCACTGACCTTTCCTGCTCATTTTTAGGGGTTTGAAGCCCTCGATTGGTATTGGAAGGCCTCTGGGAGCCCCGCCAACAGCCCCAACCTCCCGCGTGATTTCGCGTGAATTTTCGTGATTTCCATTGTTCCGCTGCCTGGATTCCTAATATATATTATATTAAGGCCACCCATGGCCCGCGTGATTTCGCGTGATCTCCATTGTCCGTGAGAGTCCCGCCAGAGGCTTTTATACGATCGTAGCATTTGTGCTTACACTTTTCGATCTTTTGGCGGGTTCCTGGTTCCCGCACGCCATGGCAAGCAACGAGGATCCCCTGAAGAAGGCTCTATAGTGCCCAGAATGTACCACGCATCCCTCTAGATCTAGATAGACCTACCTCGCGGTGGGTGTACGTGTGCAGGCTGCCCAGAAAGCGTTGGAGGCGGCCGCTCGTCGCCGTACACTCGCAGCAAACGTGGCTGCTTCGACAGTGGCAGATGCAAGCGGTGTTAGCAAAAGGACCCGGCCCAAGGACATCACCGCATCGACCCCGACTTGCAAAACGCCGAATCCAAAGCATGTCAAGAGCAGCGAGTGTGTTGCTGTGACCCCTTCGGTGGACACTCCGAATCCGAATCAGCAGACCCCCTTGGTGAACACTCCGAACCAGCCGACCCCACTGGTTTCCACACCGAACAAGCAGCTGTTCGCGACGCCGGCCAAGGGTGGCACGTCCGCATGCGCAATAATGCCTGGGATGCAACTACACGTAGTGAAACTATATAGGGCTGTGGGGTCCAGGGTCCAGGGGTGCAGGGTTTAGAGGTGCAGGGCAGGGTTTAAGTTTGTACATGTGGGCTTAGAGTAATATATCATATATATATATACATACATACATACATACATACATACAAACATACATACATATATATATATATATATATATATATATATATAATTATATATAATTATATATATATATATATAGGTATATATATATATATATATGTATAGGTATATATATATATATATTTATTTATTATTAAAGTTTATCTAGCCTGAGCCATTTGGGTTGCGGCTGTGGGGGTCCTGAGGCTTGGCTTGCACCCGGCTCCTAAAGGTGCCAGGGCTTCTGTGTGTGGCTTTGGGTTTAGGGCCTAGGGTTTGAGGCTATTGGGTTTATAATGGGGTTTAGTATATATATATATATATATATACTAAACCCAATAGTATATATATATATATAGCTAGGGTGATAATAATGTGCAGTATTATATATGTTTAATTCGAATATATCGTATTTGCTAATGTAAACAACTCTCTCTATCAATATCTGAGGCTACAGTGCGGAGTCCCTGGAGATGGCGACCCCGGATGTTGTGACCCGAGTGGCTTGGCTTATATATATATATGTATAGTACAGTGCTGCGAAATAAAAACGCTTTAGCATCCGGGATCCCAGGCTAGGGCATTGCACAATGAGCTGATGGACTCGACTCTGCATGACACGCTTATGGCGACGCCTAACCGTGCCGATGCCGATCTGGAAACACAGATTGATGCAGATCTCGCGAAGCTTAGCTTGGAGGACTTGGTTTTCGGGCAGTTCGAGGGGTGGGTCGTGTATGTCAGATAAGAAATATGAGGTAGATTCATCATGCCAAATTCGTTGTTATATCCTCGGCTCCTTTCAGGTGCAATCAATTAATATTAGCCTTGAACCCGCTAGCCAGCTCCCTATTGTAAACAATAAGCTTAATCGCATATACATGAAGCCCCATTGGTGTTGACAAAAACCCGCTTCAACTGCCAATAAAGCCTCACCATATACAACCACTGTGGTCTCACAAATCCACTCTCGGCCAACGTACGTAGATCTACATCCTAAACCGCGATCGTATCAGCATACTGTTGTAACACTTTATGGTCGTGACTGCAGAGCTCACTCGGCAAGATACACATAAATAGCTTAATTTACGTATACTACATACATGCGATACATATATTACAAATATTATTATATATATATATATATATTATATAAATATACATACATATTCCTTGAACTCTAGACTGCCCCACATCCCCGAACCCCAAGTCTCCAGATCCACACAAGCCCTCGCCCTAATTAAACCCTAAAACCCTCTACTCTTAAACCCCCTACACCCTAAGATGTTGTGCCCAGCTCCAGGACCCAGCCATGTCCCAGCAGTCCAGCAACCTTGGCTCGGGGCCGGATGCAGTGCAGGTTCAGGGATCTGTGGGCACAGACAACGCTACTTCTGCCCTCCTGGCATTAGTCGATGTGCTTCAGAAAAACCCTAGTGACATGCAGAAAGCCTTGCTACGCCCTGGGACCGTGGAGTTCGAAGCAATAGCTGCTGCAGTCCAGGCTGCTAAGACCGCAGAGACTCAACAGCTTCAAGCACTGCAAGCACCGCAAGGTAACAGTGAGCAAGCACCGCAAGGCAGCACTGAGCAAGCACCGAAAGGCAGCACTGAGCAAGCACCGCCCCAGCAAGGCTTCATGGCTTCGCAGGCCATGGATAGCTACCTAGAGAATGTTTACAGCAAAAGCCATCGCTGCGACTCCCGGTCACCGCCTGGAATGAGACCTGAGCATCCGGAACCTGAGCCGGTACCACCGAAACTCATCGACGCCCAGGAGCCTAAGCCGATGGAGGTCGAGCCCAAAGCCCCACAAGTGTTGCAGCCGCTAGCGTCGATTCCACAAGCCCCCATCAGCAAAGTGGTGGCAAATGCATTGGTGCATATGGGGCCCGACCAAGCTTTGCAGAAGCCAGAGCCGATCGCACAAGCACCGAAGCAAGCACCTCAGGAGCCACAGCCGATCGCACAAGCACCGAAGCAAGCACCTCAGGAGCCACAGCCAATCGCACAAGCACCGATCGCGAAGCAAGCACCTCAGGAGCCACAGCCGATCGCACAAGCACCGATCGCGAAGCAAGCACCTCAGGAGCCACAGCCGATCGCACAAGCATCGGAGCAAGCACCTCAGGCGCCACAGGCGCAGCAGCAGCAGATGCCTCCGCCTTCCCAAGTTCCACGCCGTGATGTGGAATCCAACCCTGCCCTGCCACCTAGCAGTGCTCCCTCGACCCCTGGCCCCAGTGATGTTGACGACGATCCAGAACTTAGTGCCCTTGCAGATGTGGCACACCAGCTGAAGGACACCAAATCTAAATCGCTAGTTAACCGGATCTGTGGATCTCGCTTGCTGGCAGGAAGCTGCCCGGAAGACCCGGATGCGGTTCTTGCGATCCTTCGAAAGCACCCGACTGCAATGGGGGGGGGGAACATGAAAACCCTAAAGCCCCACATCCTAAACCCCTGAAAGAGTTCGTCTATGGGCAGCCTAGGCAAGAAGTGCCCAGCGGTTATTCTCGAACAATGGAATAGAGCCACGAACACTGGCGGGCCCCGAGGATGCTTGATGTGCAATTATGTGCTGCAGTATTTTGCAATATTGTTTTCAGTGACTCCACATCAGCCCTGTGAATCTAAGACTCTGCAGCAGTCGACAAGATGTTTCGCGAGTACATTATGGCTGGGGAATCCTGGGGATGCTCGCGAGTGGTTGCAGTGCAACAAATCGTCAGCCGGTACTCGGCCGAGGGCGTCTACGTCTGGATCAACAAACAGGATCCATACAGAAACGGTTATCCCTAAGCCCGGCCCTTAAACATCCATAACCTGCTTTTAATGTTGACCCTGAGCCTACTACACATAAGATGATGTATACAGATCTAGATAATGTAGAGACCCTTGTATAGTCAAGTCTATGTCCCGCGATCCTGGGTCTGTGCCTGTTCCCTCGCCCAAAAGCTGCAGGAGATCGAGAGAAAATACGGTGCGGAGGACGCCGCGGCACTTATCAGCGAGAAGGACTCCAGATTGCACATTAAACATCTATCGTGATACCGCTAGCTATAGCTCATGATCAGGAGAAGGACACGACGCAGTTCTGCGACAACCCCGACTTTCCTGGGGTAAAGGCCTGCTGAATGAATATCACACCCAACATGTACATGCATTATGCTGCACACATATCGTGTTTATGTAGATATGTAGATATCGATAAACAGATCTACAATTAATATTCGTATGTAGCATGTACATATAGTGTGTGTGTGTGTGTGCGGCATGTTTCGTTTATGAATATGGGTCTTTCTGGGTGTCGCTTGGTGTCTCTGGGTATATTTGGTGGGCCTTATTGAACCCTGCTACTAGTACTCTAGAAACCCGAATACCCCAACCCCTAAACGGCCCGAATCCCCTAAGCCTGCGAACGTACTGATCATCGTTACGCTCTCACAATTTTGTATGAATTAAGCCCTGCTACCTAAACCCGTATCGTATGTGCTGGGCCGCAGGCGAAGCGGATTTATCGCTGCTGGGAGAGCAGCACCGACAGGACGATTGACAGCCGCGAGAGCTCGTTCACCTTCCAGCGTGAGGGGGACACCGATGGATTTGACGGTGTCAGTGTTCCGGACGCAGGTTTCGGAAATCCCAACCCTGATGTCAAGGGCAAGGGAAAAGGGAAGAACAAGGGGAAGGACCACGAGATCAAGGAGGTGAAAGCCAAGACCACAGATCAACTTGCCAAACAGGCCGATGCCTTCGAGTCTTTTCTAGTTTGCTTTTTTCTGGGGATCCATGGGCACATGACGCTTTCCGGTTAGGCCATCAAGACGGCTAACGACTCGCTCCTCGAGATACGATCTTACAAGCCGAAACTGATGAAAAACCAAGTGTGCCTCGATTGCAAAATTCGTTTACCAGTTGCATGTGCATGTGTGTTATCCTCTGAAAAACAGCTTGCTCATATACCCTAGGGATGTTGAGCTGATCAACGCGCTGTGTGACTCCATGGGACGTCACGCAGAGCTCATCACGGAGAGTTTGAAGGAGATGGAGGACAATTAGTGATTGCTCCGTCGTCGGTTTAGTTAGATAGTTGACTGAAGTTCGCTGATTACAGGATGCCTTTTCTGCGGGACAAGAAGGTTGTGCTCTCGAGGACCCTCTGGTGAAGCTGAACCATGCTTTGTGCAACTTTAAGGGTGCCAACAAACATGTGAAAATGCATCTGCAGCCGCCGCGGCCGGCTGGCAAGGCTAAGGCGGGAGCTAAGGGGAAAGCCAAGGCGAAGGCCAAGCAGTGATCGAAGTCCGCAGTGTCGCGACTTCCTGGGATGAAGTGTGGAGCGCTTCAGGGTCCAGATTTCAAGTGGAGCACAGAGCCCACGATTTTTGAAAGGTTCTTCATCTGTGCAGCGGGGTGCTAGCCCATGGGGGTGCGGCCAGTGCTGTCATGTGCAATACACGTCATGCGAATTATCTCTCGCTCTAGATCTATATATAGCTACGAAAAGCATGGCTGATAGCGGCTTCGCCATAGCATGGGCTGTAGGAGCACGAGATCCTGCTGTGCACAGACAGCACGCAAAAGACGATGTGTGATCCGAGTTTGAATGCATGTGCATTTGCACACGTAAACATGCACGTACCTATACCTCCCTCGCAGGCAATGCTGAGTTTGCTGACCATCTTTTGAAAACTTTGGGCACGGGTGCCGCTTGTCTTAAACCATGCCATACATGGCAGTACTATAGGGTGAATTCCAGAGAGTGATACTGGTGCCACTGCCTAGACCGACAATCTCCAAATATTGCCAACCCACGCAACCTCCCAATATTATTTAGGCTATCGGGTTACCCAGGGTTCAGGTTCCAAAGGGTTTCGTGTTATGTTGCATAGGAGGTCGACGGGTTAAGGTTTAGGGATAGTCCCTTCAGTATCGGGCTTTACACATCTAGTGCCCAGCTATCTACCAACATTGCATCATGAGGTCGGCAGTGGAGCTGCAGCAGAGTGCAGCAGCTATGGTGCAGGAGTCACGAGGAGCAGCTAGCGCTTTGACTCATAGAATAGCGGCGGCTGGTAACCGTGGACGTCATCCAAACAATATTGCACGTGACATTACTCGTGCTTTGCAGTTGCCAGTGGTACCTTGTTCTACATTCCCAGAAATGCTTTTAGACCCTGCTATTCGCAATCTTAGAATTTGTTAATATAAAACCCTAAACCCTAAAATACCGTGAATCGTTAAGGACCTGCACTACTGCACAATCCCGGTGCGGAGTGAACTCGACAGGAAGACCGAGACTGAAATGAAAAGCCCGTTCATTATGCCCCACGAGCTCTATGCTTATTTGATGGTCGCTGGGTCGTCATGATCCCAAATTTCTCGATCGCCGGAATTAGCTTAGCCTCACCCTATATGCTAGGAAACTCACTAGCCCCAGACTTATATATAATATTATATTCATAATAACTATTATACTAATATATATAATATTGTAGTACTATAGTTAAATTAACTATATTATTATATTTTATAGTAATATATTATTATATATAATAATACATTATATAAGTACACTAATCAGCTCAAGACTGCATCCTGTAAAACTGCTGGGCTCTGACTTTTTTTAAGAGCAAACTTGATTTGGCCGACCAAGCTAACAATTATTATGAATATAAAGCCGGGGAACCCTCAAAACCACAATCCTTGAAACGCCTTGACCCTCGAACCCTACGATGCTTCAGAAGTCTTAAACCCCAAATGAAAAGCCCAAGCCCCCGAAGCGATCCCAAGCCGAACATAATATGCAACTCCAAGGATTCTGGGAAAATCCGTGTCACACCTGCAGAGCTGGATGAGTACTGGGAACATGTTGCTGCTCGGGCCAGGGCGAATGGACTAGCTGTTCCGACTGGGTATGACAAGCGGGCAGTGCCATTAGGCATGTACGGTGATGACGCCAGATATAACGTTTCGGGATCAAAAATATTGATGGTGACGGTCAATAGCATACTGGACACCCCCAGGCGTGTTGCTGTGGCATTCATCAAATCATCTTCAACTTTGTTGTAGGCTTAATATAGTACTTCGTTACTTGTAGAAGGGTTTGGAAAATGGCCACATAGAGTCACATAGAGATTGCGATAAGGAGGTGAAATGGCTCGCTACCCGATCTGGACTTTGCGAGAATACATTTGCCTTGGAGCAAGAAGCTGGAATCCAATCATGAGAATCCTGAGCTGGTCCTTCAATGCTCCTATCAACATTCACGCAACCTTTTGAATATATACGGTTACGTTGTTATATTTGTTTATAAGCTATAATCCCCAGACCCTAAACCCTATATGCTAAATCCCAAATTAGACCCCGAACTACTAAGATCATCTACTACGGCATCTACCCTACTTTCAACCTGGACGGTGTCCGCCTTGCCGGCCCGGCTGCGAAACTGGCAGGACAGAAGTTGCCAGGCGCAGCACCTCCAAAATTCAGGGTTGGTTTAAGAGGTTAGTTCCGAGGAAAATTTGGGGGTGGGCTTCAGGTTTGCCGTGCTTTTGAACTCGAGGGTCGAGGGGATGTGGGGGGGTGCAGGAAGACCAGGCATTCTGCTGGAACACCGCGGAGACTGGAAATATTCGAAGGATTTTTTTGGCTTTAGCGCTTTTTGGAACTGGAAGACCAAGTACATGTGCCATATATGCGTGGCAGAGAACAGTGGGCAAAATGCTTGGAGCCGCGACTTATGCGGCTCGTTTACTCGTCGCACAGACACTGACATCATACTCCACGTGATGCCTCGACATCTCAACCCAATATGTGCTGTTATTGGATTCAGCCCAAGTACTCAAATCAAGTGGTGCACCATGCACACGATCAACCTTGGAGTGGCCCAAGTCCTTAACGGCAGTGCTGTGCAATTCCTTTGTGAACGAGGCCGGAAACACTACGATAATTTATATGCTATCGATATCGTTATAGAAGTTCTTGCGGAATGATTGCATGCCACACCTCGAAAGTTCTTGCAGGCTACTGGGGCCAACAGCTGTCACTTCAAGCGTCGCTTCATGCGGCCTCCGTCGCCTTTCGTCGATGGGCGGCCGAGCATCGCATCGAGTGCCATGAATACGAACTAGCGTAATATCATATCGAATTAGCTATATATTGGTACCCGCTCCCTGAGGCACAACATTCCTTTCCTGATCCCGGGCCACCTACATGACTCGACAGTTGGCAATTTCCCGTGCTTAACTTTAAAGGCCCACAGCTCGCGATTATGGTTGGCCTATATGGATGCTTGCTTCGAGGATTTGCAATCCAGATCTCCCGCTACGGACTTGGAAGTGCATTTGGGGTACCTCGCTATTCACAACTTGGTTCGCTGGTTTCATACACTTGAAACCAGCCCGAGGCGATATGTTTCGGTGGAACAGGCAGCTTCGATGATGAACTCGGGCACAAGCTTCCTGAGAGCCACTGAGCGTCTGGTGTATTTTGCAAGTGCGCGACAGCTGTTGCGATGGAAGGTGCTACCTAAGCACCACGAGCCTAGAGCATCGAGATTAGCATTAATTCTTTCAGTTGAGTGTTGGTTCCCGCTAGCTAGGTATATACCTACGTGGGGTTTCGAGTTCGGGAGTTTCGACCTTATTCCCTGGAGGCCTTTTATCATGTACTGCAAGACTGTGTGACGTGGCTACAGTCGCCAAGGGCGACGCATTGCTTTCGCGATGAGGATCTCATCGGGCAGTGGAAGAAATTGGCTCAAGGGTCATCGAGCAGCTTGGAAGTAAAATAAAATC